CGCGTAAGGCAATTCTACAAATTTGCAGAACAAGGGACACGTCATATTGTACGGCGGCGTACATCATACATATTCCTGCCACATATATTTATACTGGGCTCCCAGCCCCCAATCAATTATATGCAGATTGGGGGTTAGGAGCTGTCTCCGTCCAACAACAAAATGCAAGGTTTCTTGTAAACCCTTGTCGTCCTCCAACAACAAGAGTGCAAGGTACTTTGAAACCTTTGTCGTCCCCCAACAACAAAAAAGTTTTTTGTAAACTCATGTCCTCCCTCCCATCCCCCTCCTTGTCTCCCCTCCGTGCCTCTCCTCCGGGGCCTTGGGTGGATGAAAGCGAACGGGATGCAGGGCTATTCCGCCATCTCAACGTATCCCACATCGCTCTCAAAATGGTGATAGATCCCCAACGCATTTCTCAATTACATTGCTGGGAGATGGTTTGATGGAAAATGCCACTTGACCATTCTAGCTCATCCCACTCTCTGACCGCCTCCTCTTCTGTGTTCCGCGTGCCCTTTTGTGCCTATGCCGCAATCTCCACCCTGGCCCTAGCCTATATCGCTCTGAAAATGCTGATAGATTCTCAACAACATTTCTCAATATGTGTTGCTGGGACCTGGCTTGGTGGAACATGCAACTTGACTATGACTGTGACAGTGAAGGGTGTCAAGTTCTTCGTCTCCTCCATCCAACCACCCACCAGAAAATTCTCATACATGATTGAAAGCACTCCCAACGTCCCAACAACAGGTACCAACTGGCCAGAAGGGGGACGGCTGGATGACGAGGGATGGCTAAATTGAATGGAAATGGTTGGGAGGAGGCGGAACGCCATCCTTGTGTGCAACTACGCCACCCTGCCTCATCCCATTTCCTAACCTCATCTCCCTATGTGTTCAGCGATACCATCTGTCCCATTCCGCCATGTGCGCCGTACTCCACCGGGCTCTCAAAAAGGCTTAACAAGGTTTCATAGATCCTCAAAAACATTTCTCATCATACATGGCATGACTTGATGGAACATACAACTTGACTGTGAAGGGTTTCGAGTTCACACCACAAGCTGCTTTCTCAACCCGTCAGTAGCGCCTGACCCCATCACCCTCCCAAACAGTTCTCATAGATGTTCAAAAACACCCTTAACGTCCTAGCCACCACTCATCAGGCACCACCCCGGGCTCGCCCACATGCTCTCAGACGGTCTTAGTCAAACTCTCAGAATGGCTGGACGAAGAGCCATGGCTGGGTCCAACGGGTTTCTGATGAGCATGGCTGGCTCTCACCTTAACCTCTCAGCGGGCATGGCCGAAGCGGGGGGGCCGAGTGGGTGGGGATGCAGGGCATGAGTGGATGGGGACAGGTGGACGGAGGGGAGGGAGGACGGCTGGAAAACTTTTATCCCGCCCAGCGCTGGCCACAAAAGAAGCTTCCCATGGCTCTCAGAAGAGCACAACATGCTTCACTCTTGCAAGTCTTGTCATCCTTGCATGAAGTCTTGCATTTGCCTACGCCACCCTACCTCATCCCATTCTTTGAGCTCCTCCTCCTCTGCATGCCGCCATGCCCTTCTGCGCCCCCATCTCCATGCTTCTCCACATTGCTCTCAAAAAGGGTCATAGATTTTCAAAAGCACTTCGCAGTTTTATTGCTGGGACGTGGCCTGGTGGAACATGCAACTTAACTATGAGTATTTCTATGAAAGCCTGTCAAGTTCTTTGTCTGCTCCATCCAACCATCAACCTTCTTCTATGACTATGAACAGTTTCAAATTCTTTGTCTCCTCCGTCCACCCACCAGCCACCTCTCCAATCCGTCAACACCACCTGACCCCACCGCCCTCTTCATAGATCTTCCCAAGCATTCGATGGAACATACAACTTGACTGTGAAGGGTTTCAACTTCACACCAACGGCCTTCTTCCCAACCCGTCAACAGCACCTGACCCCATCACCCTCCACGTCCAAACCACCAGCTTTTAGGTACCAGCTGGCCAGACGGGGGACGGCTGAGAGCACACTATCCGTGCATGAATGCTTGCGTGCGTCCATGCCACCCTGCCTCATCCCATCTCCTAACCTCCTGACCTCCCTCTGCATGTACCGGAAATGTCTCATAGATCCTGCAAAGCATTTCTCATTATGTTTGCAGGCGCATGGCTTGATGGAACATACAACTTGGCTGGCCGTGAAGGGTGTCAAGTTCACACATACAGCCCCTCAGCAACTCGTCAACAATGAGCACCTGACCCCATCACCCTTCCGTAAAGTTCTCATAGATGTGCGAAAGCATTCCCGGGCTCGCCAAACATGTTCTCAGAAAGCCTTAGGCAAACGCTCAGGTTGAGCTTTGGCCAAAGAAGGGATAAGAGCCTTGGGCATGAACGAACCTCTCAGGGCGGATGGTCGAAGGGCGGGGGGGTGGGGTGGATCAAGGGCGATGTAGGGCATGCTTGGATGGGAACGGCTGGAATGCCTGGAATGGCTGGACAAGAATTGACCTCACCCAAAACCGTCCCAAAAAAACGCTTTCTGTGGCTTCCAGACTCCGCGTTTGTCTCTCCTACCGCCCTTGCCTCCTTGAATGAATGCTTGCCTGTAACAAGGCCACCATGCCTCACAACCTCCTCATCCTCTGCAGCATTGATACTTTCTGTTGGCGCGACGCAGCATGTGCTCAACGTACTCTCAAAGCCTCCGCGTGTGTTCCAGTAACATGAACCAAAAGGGATTGCCAAATAGACTTTTGGGGTTGCAAGGTTCAGGGTTGAGGCGATGTGTGTAATGTACGTAATGTGTGTAATGTGTTGTCGTCGTCGTCGTCGTTTTAGTTGACTTCCCCTAAAGCTCTAAACAAACCAGATTGCCAAATAGAGCGTAAAGGTCCTTGCCACATATGGTGTGCTTCTTGTAGCACAAGCCAATTCCCGGCACCCTAATTTAAATCACGGTTCTTGTTGCCGGACCCTAAATCTTCATTCTTGCCTGGAGCCTTATGCCTGAAATACCCGCTGAACCCTAATTTTTCCTGGAACCCCAAATGCTTGAAACCCCGGTGACCCTCTGACTCAAGCGGTTCGGTGATCGTGGCCGTTGTCATCGTGGTTGAGATCAACCTGAAGGCCTGGGCCTGAATGTAGTGCAGATGTGAGTGTCTGAGTGCGACCTACCGAGCGTACCGAGGGCTGATGCCTCGGTGCTTAGGTCTTGGACTCAGTCCACACCTCTTCCTCAATCCACTGCTTTTTTGGGGAGCCGGTTTGCTGGCAGCACACCGGCTCCGCAGATCGGGCATCATGAATTCACCATGTGGACCAGCTGGAGCTCCAATTGCCAATTCTGGAGGCATGTCACCATGTCGACAGGCAGGTCGTGACGACCTCGGTGTCGACATGGTGACATGTCTCCAATTTAGGAAAGATCCAGTCACCATGTCGGTCGCCGCCAGGGATGCTGGTTGACCAGGGACGACGAGGATGTGATCTCATTGCGATCATGTCCTCGTCGTGGTGGAATGACTGCAGCCGTGGGGTGCAGTCCGATCTGCGTGACACGTCGGACCAGGACAGCTGTTCGGGAATGCCTGAAACCATGTACCATCTCCCTTGGCCGCATGTGCCGCCAGCAAGCTGCCTGTGAAAGCAAAATAATTATCAGTCGTCAGGCCTCCGTCCGTTAGCTGCTTGTAAAGCAAAGTCGCCGGTAGCTGCCTGTCGATAGTTACCGATAGTTGCCTGTTTGAGCAAAATCTTCAAACACCTGTTGGATAGCTTTCAGTTATGTCTGTCATGTATGATCACTTGGCGAAGAGCGAAAGAGCCAGGGAAAGTTTACAGGTAGATGCTAATATTTTATTTAGGGGGCTGCGCCCAGAGTCGGGCAACGCAGGCAATTCATTCATTCATTCATTCATTCATTCATTCATTCATTCCTTCATTCCTTCATTCCTTCATTCCTTCATTCCTTCATTCCTTCATTCCTTCATTCATTCATTCATTCATGCATTCATTCATTCACTCACTCGTTCATTCATTCAATCAACCCATCAATCAATCAATCACTCAATCANNCTCATTCATTGGGCGGGGGCAGGGAAAGGCGCGCGGGAGGGGAAAGGGGAGGCAAAGCATGACAAGGTGCGGTGAATTGGAGGCCATGGCGCAGGGGAGCGGGAGGAAGCGGTGGGGGGATGGGGAAGGAAGTCTGGGCGGGGACGGTCTGAGAGGGGAGGAAGCGGTGAAGGGAAAAAACATGTGCTTTGGTGGGGGCGAGAGCAGATGGGAGGGCGTGGGGGGGGTGGGCAGGAAAGAACCATATGCTCGGGAAAGAGAATGGAGGCCTCCAAATACTTTCTAAGATGGGGGGACAGGCGCCGAGGAAGGGAGAGGACGGGCGGCGCTCCAGAGGCCAGAGCAGGGGAGATGGAGAGAGGGGTGGGGGGATGAGGGGGAGGCAAACGAGCGCCGAAGAGGGGGGGGGGGGGGCGCGGCTAAACATCTAGAAAATGCAGCCAGATGTGAGAGCCGGTGAATGCACCGTGGACGGCAAGGGCAGGAAATGCGGAGGGTGACGTAGGCACGCGTGAAACCAGATGGGGGTAGTGGAGGCCACGAGAGCAGGCAAAAACCTTTTGGGATTTCACTGACGCCGTCCCAGAGAAGGGTCGGCGGATATGTGCGCATACGAAAACACATGCATATATATATATACACACACACAGTATTCTTATCATTACGATTATCAGTCTTATTAGTTTATAGTTGTTATTTCTACGATTATTCTGAGTATTATCATCGTTCATATTACATATGATATGATATTCTGTATGCATATGCTTCTGGCTGGCCAATTCATAGTGAGGTCACGCGAGGTCACTCCCCGTCAAAAATCAGTACTGCCCAGATAACGTATGGTCCACGGCCAAAGCCCCCTGCTTCTTTCTGTGGTGTCCCCTTCCGCCCTCCTGTGGCATGGTGGTTATGCAGGGTTGCCGCGCGGCAGGAGCGCGGACTGCTTGACGGAGATCCGCCCCTCGTCCACACAGCAAGATCATTCCCCAGAAAAAGGTAAGACCCAGCTGCTCCCAAACCAAAAACACCGCGCGCTTGAAGCAGCATTATTCTCTCTGGGGTGAGTCCAGTTTCAGGCTTTGTCCCAGCTTGATAGCTGAATCCAGTGCAACCGCAACCCGTCAGCGCGTGCTTCATGGATTGAGGTTTGCTTGTATTTGTCCCAAAGCAAATTGAATTTCATTGTTTCAGCGGCTTTTCAGCTTTCCAGCTAGCAGCTAAACTTCAGCAAGCGTGTTGGTAGGTCTGTTTGGGAGACTTCGCCTGACTTGTCCGAGTTCTAGAACTGACTACGGGTCGAAAAGCCCAAGCCAAGGAGCTGGGCTCACGTTTGGCCGTCAGCTGCCGCTCTCGGCGCGCTCTTGGCGGGCCGACCCCAGCGCCTTCGGAGGGTTTAAGGTGCGACGGTTTATGGCATTTCGCAATTGAGGATCCATTGCCAATATCATTTGGTCATGTAGAGAATCGCACGCCCCAGAATTTGGACTACAGTAATTACAATAGTTCGGCTCCGTTGTTCCATTGCAGAATCTCCAGTCATCTGAATGAACCCCAACTCCCATCATGTTCATGCGTGAGAAGAAGCTATAAAAAGCAGAATCCCAGGCTCGTTGAAGACAAGCGGGTCGCCGAGCAGGGAGCCCAAGCCTCGTGCAATTACAAGTTCAAGACATGCCGAGAGTAGGAATAAATGAATTAACCAGGCTCCCCAAATCCAAAGCAATTATCCGACTTTGATTTCGTTTTGTGTTCACTCCTGAGTTCAAAGCTCTGCAGCTTCCACGAAAGAAGTTTGAAACGCCACACCTCTGAGAGTCCAACACCTCAACAACACCCTGAATCCAACCTTCTGCTGGCGCTCTAAAACATCCTCTCCACTTGGAACCACAAATGCCTCCGAAAAAGGCTTGGCGCCGGCTTGGGCCTTTGTGGCCTCGTCTCCGCCGCAGTGGGGGCGCGCACGGTGCTGCTGCTGGATGCTCGTTGCTTTTTGTTTTCGCGTGCGGGTGCTTCCATTGCTCCAGGGCTTTCTTGCTAAGGATGGCCATTTGCGACCTCGAATGTTATCGTTCTAGACTAGTGGGCGCACCTGTTTCTTGCGCACCATGTAAAGACGGACTGAGCTGCATTATCATGTGTGGGCTCTGTCTTTTCGGGACAGCTCTCTGCCACGAGGCTTGGCTTGCCCCTGTGTGGGTTTCTGGCCACTGTTGGCCCGCATCTTCCTCGTTTCGCTAACCCCCTTTCATGCAGGACTATGTTGTGCATGGGATGCCAGATTTTGCACCAAGCCGGCTGCTGCAACGAATAAGGCTTCCCTTCCAGTCAATCTGCAAAGGGAAAGCCGAAAAGACACCGGAAAGTAAGTGATTGAACATTCCAACCACGAGTATCTTTCCTGCACCACGAGGACCGTGAGCCCCGGGCGCTGCATTGCGCCGTGGCTTCTGCAGAGCTCGGCAAGCTGGCGGTGCAGGCTTCAAGAGACAATTGCAGGTCCACCGAAATACGATGCCTCAGTTGTCGATATTGAGGGGACCTGGAGTCCCACATCTAGCATCATGCTCAGACATGCTCTCGCCGTTATACATCCTGGTACCATGGATGCAGTAACCCAGCAGAATGGCAATGGAACACACACATGGAAATGACTTCACTGTCGGCCATTCAGTCGAAGGTCCTTCCGAAAAGATTGGACTGCTGTTCAGACCACAACCAATGCAGGCCACTGGCTTGAACTGATGGGTTTGCGACCGGTGCATTGCTCCATACACGAAGGAGGTTGGCGCAGCTTGCGGCGCCAACTTGGCTGCAATGAGCTGTCACTTTGGCAGTTGTCGCCCGACAAATGACAAATCAGGCATTATGCGAGGCTTCGCAAGATCAAGGAGATGACTTGAGATGGTGTTGGATTTGGACCACGCCGCCCCTCTGTCTGCAGACCCATCCCTGTGGTCAGAGGTGCAGGCTGCCGTCTACGACTGGGATGCGCCTCAGAGTTTCGGGGAGCCTGTAGATGTGCCACGGCAGCATCAGCAAGGGAGAAATGGAACTGGGGACCTGCGGACCCCACCCTGCATGTCCCATCCGACTTGAAGCCCTCAACCCTGCCACCTGTGATATGTCCACACGTGACTGCCAAGGTCATCCTGGCAGCAGAGGCCATCCCAAATTGCCGTTCGAGTTCCGAGTGCTGTTGTCTTGCTAAGCCTAAGTGAGCGAGTGAGGATGGGTGTTGTGAGGCCTCAGTGGGATCGCTGCTGCCGGTTTCGCCCGAATTTTTAAATCGCAAGACTTCAGGCCCTGCAGGCGCTCCGATCCGGACCGGACACTGCAGGCGAACCCCCGCCACCCCCCGACGCGTGCCCGCACCTGGTGGCTGCCAGGCCAATGATGCCTTTCGCGTTGGATCCTTCCACGCCCATCACACCCCAGCGCCCACGACGCTCATCACTCGATTCACCCTCCTACGGCAGAGAGTGCTGGCAGTATTTCAATACACCTCTGGTGCCGAGAATTATCCTGCGTAACATATCATCGCACCGAAGATGGCTACGTACCTGCAGTCTTGAATCTACGCACTTGCCGCTGATGAACACTTGATTGTCAAAGGCAAGTGGTGAAGAATTGGGTAAAGGCTCCAGCCGAAACAGCCGGCGGCACAGTCTGTCAAAACCGACATGAGTGTCTGAAGGTTGCTGCGATTGAGCGAGCACCGAGATGTCATTTCTAAACAATGACTGCGAGCCGATACCTCTTGGAGAGGTCCTCTACGATGTTACAGCCTCAAAGGCACTGGCTGCAGCCTCTTTGTGCCTGCTTCGTGGAGAGGCCTGGGACCGTGACAGCTGTGGAATTACAAGTTGCAAGCTGAACTGCAGACACATGTTGTGACATATAGGACATATAGCGCACTTACACATATCGCAGTTTACAAGCAGTCCAAGACGATATAGTAATATAGTAGGCTGAGTAGAGTCATAAGCGAGTTGAACTGTTGGCATATGGGGAACTCAGCAGGGTAGTTATAAGCTAGTTCTATGACTTTAATCAAATGGCGGAGATATAACTAATAGGATTTAGTATAGAAGTTGTAAAAGGCTTCAAACTACAAGATTACTGCAGATACGGAATTCTTTTACCGGTGGTGGGCGATTCGGTTTTCAAACCCCGCAGCAGCTGCAACACCGGCAGTGAGCATGGAAGATTGTCGCGGCAGTCCGCGCAGCTTCTGCACCTTCACCGTTTCCCAGAGTCGCAAGAATTCGGCGTGGCATCGAAAGCTTCTGAATAAAGGCTGGTCGCGTGGGTTTGTTTCGCTGCAGCTATAGATCGGGATGGACCATTTAAATCGGCGGCAGTGCTGCATGAATAGGGTGGATGGTGGATGGTTGAGACATGTGTTAATGCTTCTGTTTTGTCCCGCTCAGGCCTCCATGAAGGCATCGCTGAGACGGTTTGAGGTGCTTTTTGAGGATTACACGGTGTGACACACCACAAAGCGTCCAGAGGAATGTTTGGGGCCTCCTTGCGTGCCTTGAAGAGCGCTCTCTGACTTTCAATTTGGGCGGCACAGCGGTGAATGTAAATTGTCCCCGGCGCTCGAAAAGACCATGGACGACGCGCTCAACCAGTCCAGGCACATGCAGCCTGACTGCGGCAGACTGAGGATGATGGTGGTTGAGCAGCTGGAAGTCAACATGCCTAACGCGGAGTACGGTCTTTCTCGCATTCAGTAAACGGATCGAAAGAAACACTTGCAGAGTATCAAAACACACTGTTGCTCTTTTCATGCAGATGCCGCCGTCAACGAGAAAAACAAGATACAAATTCTTGCACTTGCAATGTCCTGAAGTTTTCTTAGGTACAAGGTAAGAAATTGCAAGCAGTGGTCATGACGAACTTTGATTGGAAACGACAGACCTAAACAACAAAATTGCGCATCGTGTGCATCACGATTTTTTTCCTGCTGTTGCTTTGTCCAACAAATGTGCTGCTGCAGTGGCCCACGACTCACCTGGTTTTGCAATATGATGTTGTATGCCGTAACTGAAGCCGGAAACGCAAAGGACGAGCACAATACAATCTTTCAATAAAACAATGGAAAACCGAATTCAATCAGTTCCCGGATCTTGTAACTTGATTAAGTGACGGGACTGAAACAGCACGCTTTTTTTGTAAGTTTTGTAGCTTCGTACAGGTCAACTATGTGTCTGCTGTTCAAGCTGTACAGGTTTGACAATTTGAGTTAAAGCATTGTAGGGTTCAATTGGGCGAGAAGTTCAGAGTTTCGGTTTGTGGAGGTTTCGCGATTTGCACGTTCGGACTGGGTATTTATGAGCTGCGGGAGTAGGTCTTGTTCCTAGCATGGTTCTCGTGGTGATCGCAATACCGTATAGAATCTTGCTTGCTCTGGCGAGTGCAGCCGCCCCCGACCACCCAGGCCTGACATCCCAGAGTTCACAATATGTTTAGTACCTGCTTGTGTGGACCTTCGCACCCAGCACCGTCTACGCCTGACAGCATCAGCTGTGAACTGTGAACGTCCACTTCGGGGCCCTGGCCATACCACTCAATACAGACTCCGCTACCTTAGCGCGCAGATGATTGGGCTCCCTCAGCCCCGAAGATGGAGCCCAGCACCCAGCTCTGAGCCACGCACCTATACAGAGCCATCAATTCCAGCCCCAGCAAACCTCCAAAGTCTTGCGCAAATATATGTTCTTGCTGTGAAGCTGCCACTGACAAGCTAATCTTGCAATCGAGGCTTCTGGGAGGGTTTGCAAAGCCCTCCCGGCAAAACCTCTCCTACTTTCGACCCTATAAAGAGGGTGTTTCATTTCAGCAGCTTCACCCCCGCGCCATGGCGTTGGAAGTCCCGCATTGGCTTGCCGAGCGCTTTCCCGGACGGGACCCTTGGCTTTGAAGTCTGCTAGTAGTTGGAAGCGGGGTGGGCTAATGTTTGTTGAAAGAGATGCGTGTACCGAGACATTGTAAGTTTTCCGAGTCTCAGGGACAACGGATGTTTGAACTAGTTACCAGCCGTGGGTCTGAATTTAATGTCTTATGATAGAGTATTGTGATTCTCATCGCTTGCTTAGGGTTGTTTGTTTTTGTGAGGCATTTGTTGTTTCAGCCTGGACAGAGTCAACGCCTTGGGATTCCCACCGTGCAAATCTCAAGGAATGGGAGACCCTTCGAAGCTGCAAGCTCGTGGCGATGCCCGCTTGAAAGCAGAGATGTGATTCTGTTGGTCCGCCTTTGCTACGAAGCAACGTGATAAGCCAAGAGAGGGCCCAATGTACCGTATTTTGAAATCGCGGATCGAACAATGCGAAGCGTCGGAAGGTGTGAGTTTCAGGTTTTTCGAAGTCAGTTTCGGGACGGAGTTGCGGGACAAAAGCCAGGTCAGTTTCGGGTCAGGATGTGGTCAGTTTCAGGCCCAGACCCTGAAACTTGGTCGTCGCGCTGCTTCGTGCTGCCATCGTGCCCGAGCTTTCTGGGAGGTTCAGAAGATAAGCGGCAATAAAGGCCAGAGAGAAGTAGTACTTGTAGGGTCCCTGTGCTGTTTTTCGCTACACAGCATCCACAACAATAACGAACACTTACGTACTTTTAAAGAGCCTCCTGTTTGCCCACCCAACATGAATCATAGAGGGGCCTGAACAAGTGAATAGCATCCCCTTATGACTTGGGGTCTTGAGTTCGGGAGTGGGGATATAAAAGTGTAGGACTGAAGGTTTAGGGTTTATTCTAGTCGTCTATACTTCAGTAAGTGATGGGTGGAAAACTAGTAGAACATAGTAGAATACTCGTAGTACAAGTAGTACTCGCGGTGCTAGAGTAGGACTAGTAGTAGTCGCAGCTGTGTATATACATATATACATATATATATACACATATACACATACGTATGCACACTACGCTTAGTATAAAAAATAATGCATACACAGAACAGTTAGTATGTAAAGTTCATACAGCACATATTGCAATAACATATATCGTGAAAACAGTTCGTGTAGTTTATAATCTATAGTCTACGATATATACAGTATTAGTACCCTGTAAAGCAAAGAAACTGCACCATGATAACATGTGTACAAATACATACTAAAGAACCTACAAAGTGTTTAGTAAGAAAATGTCTACACACCATGTGTCGTGTACACACATAAAAAATAAAATATACATGGTACAGACACCATGTCAGCGACATGTATATGTATGTGCGATCAAATTTATAAATGTATATATGCATAGAGAACAATATGTTGTAGTTGCGTGTTTGAGTGTGAACATGTGTATCTACTGTGTATATATACACATACACTACATAGCTATATACTGTATGTGCAGATATACACCGAATACATCTTATTTATCGTAATCTGTATAGAATGTCAAGACTCTGCAGGCAAAGCAATACATTGCACGTCCCAGAAACGGAAAGAGCGGAAGCGCAACACAGACACACACACACACACACACTAGAGACAGAGAGAGAGCGAGAGATCGAACAATGGGTGGTGGGGCGAGCCGAAGGCCTGAGGGTCGGGATACCGACCCCTACGCCCTGCAGAAAGAAAGAGAGCGATAGATAGAGAGAGAGAGATATATATATATATATGCTCACGCCCCCCCCCCCCCCATGATCCAC